CCGCCACACCATTCTGACTGCCTTGTGTTTAGGGACATCTTAGGACACTCCTGATGCCCCGGTTAATCTTGCTGGTGCTGTTTTCCCTCACCGCTTCAGGTTCCGGCAGGCTTCGGAACTGACTCCTTCGATTTTGGTATGAACCTCCGCTCTTCCCTTTGACTATGCTTCCGGCTTCTCCCTCTACGGCCTACGGGCAATTTCGTATCGCCCGCCCAATTTCATGCCGGGACCAAACTCCGGTCCTATCCTAAACGCCAACGTCAATATCCTGTTGATGCTCCGTCGTTACCTCCCATTCTACTCGGAAACGACCGACTCGTTCAAGCACTCCCTCTCAACGCTCAGTTTCGGACCACACAAATGGACTAAATTCATTTACTTTAAGAACCAACTTCTTCTTCTGACTACTTTCTGACATAGTATTGCCAAAGCGCTCCATGCGTCATGGTTGGCAGAGATATTTCATTTTCACGCTCCCAAGAGCGGTGCGCGCATAGTCACTGGTCCAGGATGCTACCCAAGCTCATGAATCTTTCTCTCTTTCGGAATTATCAGTATACTACTCATTTCACTATTGATAAACTTCTTTCTCTCAATTCTTGTAGTGGTACCTGTCATTCTGCCCCATTCCTTAGTCCACAGAATTTCCCAGTCATGTGGCAATGTCATTTTTTGAAACAGCTGGACTCCAGTATCTCACAATCCTAAAGGTAGGGTCAATTATTGTCCTTCCTGCCCGGGGGCGGAGCGGTTAACCGCTTGCAATGGGGCTCGTTTAATTTTGGGACAGACGAGTGAACTCCCGTCTCTGTTTTTGTGCGGGAAATGGTTTACAAGTTTCGCAAAGGTTGATAACTTACCCGCATCAATGTAGAATATTGTGGCGTTTTTTGGTCACCAGCCAATATATTGCAGTTTATGGCCGATTGCCCAGTCTGGGGTGCGACAAACCCTTATAATATTCTTGCAGACAACCTCCATCTTGGCCTTAATTGTAATGGATAGGTCATCCCTTCGTTACATCCCGCCGTTGCAGGTCTACTTAAAATGAACGTGAATTCCGTTGCCTCAAGAGGCAGAAGGTCTCCTGATGCTTTGGCATACTCCTTCTCCGCCTCCAAGGGAGACCTTACCCGTGTTTCTTATTACATAGTGTTTCAAACATTCCCCCACTTCTGGGGTCCCTCTTCTGCAGCCTCCTCTGTTGTTTTTCACCTCCACATGACATTACGGCATCTATTCCTTTTGCTGTCCTTGGCTTTTTGACGTACCGACTAACAACTCAGTCTGTTCTACATATTCGAGTCCTTCCTCACAAGCCCAGTATCGAAACAAGACCTAGTACGACACCTAATTAAAATATCGGCCCTCTACTCAGAAGTCCAAAAAATCCATTGCCAAAATCTTCTGTTGCCCCTTTCCTTCACTTCTTCCCACCTCCACAAGTTACCTTTCCAGTTTTTGTACATAGTTCTTCCCCTCTATTTCTGGCTCTATTACAAGTGTGGAGATTCACCCTCCTCCTCGTACTATGCCTTCAACCCCCGTCCCCTCAAGGTTTCTCCCTTCTTTTCTTGTCAACTCCCTGGTTTCTACCTCTTATGTCCCCCCCCACACTTCATATCCAGTCCTTACAACTTTTTCCCCTCCCCCCTATACTTTGGTAACAGTCCATTACTGTCCCATTCTTTACTTCACCCTCCTCCTCACTATCTCCAAATATGGTTTTCCCCATACATTCTTTGAATTTCAGAAACACTTGAAGCCATTTTCAGATCTATTTTGCAGTGACTATAACCTTCAATGGAACTGATTCCACTTCCTGTTCCATTCTCTTCCCTCTCTCCTTCTTCACAACCCCATTCTTCGCAACGCTCCGTCCATTCGCTACTTGTACATTTCTTCCAATGCCCGACCAACACGTTGACTTTTTATAAACCCTCTGCGTCCGTAGGTGCCTTTACCTACAGATTCCTGATCTTTATCCTCATCGCCACTCAACGGCCTATTTACAGGGAATATCGCGGCCTAGGGGGTTAATGGGGGCGTGTGTTCACGATGTTGCTTTCCAGGTTTTCCCCTTGATTGGTGCTAGCTTAACAAGAACCAAAATTACACATCGGATGTTTTCCAACTATCTCAGGCTATAATTTTATTGTATTCTTTGGATCCTTTCTCAGGATGGGCCTTTAATGAAGTGCTCTTCTTCTACCGCAATGATATTCCGTACTGTCAACGAGTTGTCCATACCTGCTGCATTACACTGAGCCCACAGTATCCACTTGAATTAAGTGTGGTTTACATATGTTCTTTATAATCTTTCCTTCTCGAGCATTTTATATCCCAGACTTTGCTTTCTTGTTTCATCCCTTCCCACCACCACTTCTGATTTACTGGTGATTTTAATGCCACACCAGTTCCTCTGGGGGGGGGTTCATTGTGACTCAGTGGGCCCATTTCAGTTGGAGGCTTTTCTTGCCTACTCACCCCCTCCATGTTTTATAATACGGGTACTCCCTTCCAATTTTGATCCCTCGTAATCATCTCTCTATTGCATTCGGATCATATCAGTCGCTCTTCCTCAAATGAATAGAATTCACCCGGTCTGTTCTACCAGAACTTACATGACAGCGATCATTTTCCGTTCATTCTTTCTTGCTCCTTCCTATTTTCACCACCCTTTTCCGTAGCCCTCGCTCGGCAATTAAATTTGATCGGGAAAAAATTGGGATCTTTTACTCAAACCTTCACTGATTTTAGTGAGGTTCCTTCTTCATCCTCCATTGATGAGCTCCTTCACATCTTCTCGACATCAGTTTATACCGCGGTTCTCAATTCTATCCAAAACCTCTGGCAGGCATTCTCAGAAGTGCGTGACTTGGTGGGTCTCCTGCTTGTGCTCGTGCAGTACGTTTGAAACGTGCTGCATGGGGCAGGTAACGGTCAAATAGAACCGCTTGAGAGACTTGTTGATTTTAAGCAGTTGCGCTGCGATCGCTTCGCCGTGTCATAGGTTGAAGCTAAAAACGCATCTTGTTGGGAGATATGTTCCACATCACCTTGCTTCTTTTATTGAGTGCATGTCTGGAAGTAAAAGTGAGGAATTGAGTGGTAAAAAAATACTATCCTGACCCGGCATCTGTTACGGGTCACTGGTGCTTGGATATAGCAAAAAACCCTTGACGTTGCCTTTGAAATTGGCCCAACACATCTGGTGTATTTCCCGAGGGTCCATCTATGCCCCTCGTTTCTTTCACCTCAAAAAGTACTGCCAAGGAGAGTTTTAGTACCCTTGGGACTTTTCTTCTCTTCGGAGAGGAAAGTATAGTGTGCCTTTTACACTTCAAGAACTGGAGGAAAATAGACTCTAAGCTTGACGATCATCGCCAGCTGCGGCCTGATGACATTCATATTTGTATGTTACAACATTTACATGGTCAGCCTTGTTAGTCCTCTTACACCTCTTCAATCTTATTTGGGCACAAGGGTGTTCTTCCCTGCTGTGGAAATTCTGCCATTGTTCTCCTTTCGACAACGGGTATACAGGACATGTTGCCTCACCACTATTGCCCCATCAGCTCTTACAAGTGCAAGTTTTGCAAAGTGATGGAACTGCTGTAAATCGACGTTTAATGTGGTTATTTAGAGCACTCACAACAGTCTTCTCCGTATTCAATAGGGCTGTTCGTAAGGGTCGTTCTACCACTAGATCCCCTTACTACGCCATTGGATACGTGTAATGGTTCGTAATGCCTTTGAGAATAATAACTCCTGGTTTATTGCCATATTTTTTTGACCTTGAGAAGGCATATGACATCATACTTGGAGGTATAATATTTTGGCCCAGGCCCATTCCTCTAGGCCTACGAGGAAATTACCATCCCTTGAATTAAGAACCTTTTTATCTGTAAGTCATTTTCCTGTTCGATGTCAATAATGTTCTTTCCCGGGAACTTCGTCAAGGCTCTGTAGGTTGTCCCTCAGGGGTTGTGTTCTAAGCACAAACAATCTTTTGCTCCTTGCTATAAATGATTTGGCCTCTGTTCTTCACCCAATATTTGGTCATCACTATATGTTGATGACTTTCGATATGCTTGTGCAGGCGCTTGACTGTCACCTTATTGCTGTTTCTTCTCCAGGCAATGCGGTCGGACCGGTTTCCTCTTGGGCCACCACACATTGGGTTTAAATTTTCATGTACCAAAACTACCAAAATTATTTCACTAGAAGCTTCTGTTATCTCGATACATCCTTTGTATATCTATGGCTCCAGTATCCCGAAATTGATACAGGTCAGGTTTCTAGGCCTTCTCTTTTGCCGTTGGTTATCCTGCGAAAACCTCACATTACCTCATGAGTGGAAGGCAAACTTGTCACAGCACGCTAAACCTTCTTAAAACCACTTGCTCATCTTTCCTGGGGACGCTGATCGATTAGAACTCTTGCTTCGCCTACATTCAGCCCTCGTTTTATCGAAACCTCGATTTTGGTGACAGATTTATTTCCGCGGCCTCTCCTGTACTCTCTCTAGCCTCTTAAACTATACTCCAATCTCCAAGGCTTACTTTTTGCCTTGGTTGCTTTTCGCTACTTCCCATTGTTGAGATCCTCTATTACAGAAGCAAATGGTCCATCCTTGTCTGCATCGCCGTGATGCCCTTTGCCTACGTTACTTGTAGCTCTCCACGATCTACACAATCCTTCCAATTTATAGAATGGTAACCGATAATTAGTAGACATTCTTTATTTCGTTGCCGCCCCTGTTTTGCTCCGGTCCCTTTTCTCTGCGCCTTACATTCACTCTTGTACTTCCCTTCAGTTACACCTTTATATGTTACATGTACATCTCCTTTTCCCTACCACCCTGGGATGTTCTGCTGTTCGGGGGGGTCTGTTTTTCTCAACTCTTGCTCGATTGCTCAACTGCCTACGGTGGATTCCGCTCTCTTTTTCTTGATCACTTACCATCCTTTATCATGCCACCGTGTGTACTACAGGATGGCTCTAAGTCTTTCAGACGGCGGCGGATTGCAGCAGTGTTGCCGGACAGCGTCGTACGAGGGCAATTTACTAATCTTCAGCAGCATTTTTAATGCCTTGAAACTGTATGCCATTCTTGGCAGCACTTGTTCGTATCGATCTATGCCTGTTAGTCATCATTTGTAGTAGTTCAGACTCTTAGTGTCTACAGGCTATACGAAAATTTGATACATCTCATCCTCCCTAGGTCTCCGGATCCAACTTTGGCTACGCGTATCTCTACCAAACATTAAAAGATATTGTTTTTTTGTTGGGTACGCTGGTCATGTCGACGTTACAGGGCAATGAAACAGGCAGTCACTGATGCGCGGGTCAGGCTTTATGACCTACCAATTCCTATCGAAGGTGTTCACATTTTATGGACTATTTTGCTGCAATAGCTACCCACCTTGCTACCCGTTGGCAACAACGTTGGGTAAACTCTGCTCAGGTAACAAAACGTACATTCTATTACTTCCATTGCATAGGTTACTGGCGTCTTCTCTGTAGATCAGTGCGAAAGTTGGGGGTACCACTCTCTTCCAGCCTTGCCATTGGCCTCCATAGGTATTACTCATGGGTATCTCCATTGGAGAGGCACCTGCTGTTCTCTCTGTGGGAGCAGTGGGTAAAGTTCAGTATCGATTAGCCAAATTCTGTTAGACTGCCCTATTTATCAACGAGCACGCAGAATTTACCTCCTACGTTCGTCTTCGTTCTCCTACACTCATCTCTGCTTTACCTTCCTCAATTTCTTGGCTGATGGACTCCTTTATCCTAGACTTCCTTCTTTCTATTGACTTCTTGACAAACGACCTGATTTTACTCCACAAAACTCTGATGATATTTTCGCACTCCCCTCAGGCCCTTTCTGGTTCAGTCTCTTGCTGGCCCTTTACCTTTCAACCATCCAATGCCACCGCTGTTATCGTAACCTGTTGTCATCCCATCTCCCTTTTGCCACCTGATGCCCTGCTTCTTCCTGCCCTGCTGCGCTGAATAGTCCTTGTGGCTTAGCGGCTTCTTTTTTGATTATATTAATAATAATAATGCAGCAATGGGTTTCAAGTTGGAAAAAATAAGATTAAGGGAAGGTTATTGGAAAGTACTGGTTTGGGAATAGAGTTGTGGATGAGTCGGAACAAGCTCCCGGTACAGGTTAATTGAGGCTAAAACGTATGTGTAGTTTTAAAAAATAGGTTAGATTAAAATACATGATGTGGGTGTGGGTGGGTTTTTGTGTGTTGGACCTGACTAGTTGTGTTGCTGGGTACTGGTACAGTGCTCCATCCTTGAGTGGGGATGACAGACTGGGTGGGTCATGGGTGAATCTGGGGGCCTCTGGGTCAATGGTCTAATCCAGGGACGGGGGGGGGGACATGGCCTGTTGCTGGGTCAGTAGGCCTGTTGCAGTGTTCCTTCTCTTCTTTTTTCTTTTGTATGCTGGGAGGTAAATTGAACTGTCTTGGCCCGGGACATTTATTGTGTTGTTCTCTCAGTGTACCCCGTGGCGCCCAGCTTTTTTTTGGGGGGAATGTTTGCATTCCTGCCAAGTTCTTTTGCTTTCATAGGGAGTGATTTTTGTGTGCAGGTTTGGTACCAATCCTTCCAGGACCTTCGAGGTGTATATTATCATGTATCTCTCTTGAGGAAATGCAGATCAAGGACCTTCAACCATTCCCAGTAGTTTAGGTGCCTTATCATACTTATATGTGCCTTGAAAGTTCTTTGTACACTCTCCAGGTCTGCAATGTCACCAGCCTTGTAGGGGGCCGTTAGTGTACAGCAGTAGTCCAACCTAGAGAGCATGAGTGAGTTGAAGAGAATCATCATGGGCTTGTTTTGAAGGTTCTCATATCGTTTTCCTAGAGGATGAGGTAGATGCATTGTTGTGGTCTTTGAAGGCGAGATCCTCTGACATTATCACTCCCAGTTCCTTTACATTACTTTTCTGCTCTATTGTATGGTTAGAATTTGTTGTATACCCTGACACATTTTCAATTTCTTCAAGTTTCCCATATCTGAGTAGTTGAAATTTCTCCTCATTGAACTTCATATTGTTTTGAGTGGCCCATTCGAAGATTTGGTTGATGTCCGCTTGGAGTCTCGCAGTGTCTTCGATGGAGGTCACTGCCATGGTAATCCGGGTGTCATCTGCAAAGGAAGACACGGAGCTATGGCTTACATCTCTGTCTATGTCAGAAATGAGGATGAGGAATAGAATGGGAGCGAGTATTGTGCCTTGTGGGACAGAGCTTTTTACCGTCGCTGCCTGGGACTTTATTCTGTTTACTATTACTCTTTGTGTTCTGTGTGTCAGGAAGTTGTAGATCCATCTACCAACTTTTCCTGTTATTCCTTTATCACGTATTTTGTGTGCTATTACACCATGGTCACACTTGTCGAAAGGTTTTGCAAAGTCTGTGTATGCTACAACTGTATTTTGTTTATCCTCTAAAGCATCCAGGACCTTACCATAGTGGTCCAGTAGCTGGGACAAGCAAGAGCAACCTGCTCTAAACCCATGTTGCCCTGGGTTGTGTAATTTGTGGGTATCTAGGTGGTTGGCGATCTTGCTTCTTAGAACCCCCTCAAAGATTTTTGATATGGGATGTTAGTGCTATTGGTCTGTAGTTCTTGGCAGTTGCATTACTGCCACCTTTGTGGAGTGGGGCTATGTCTGTTGTTTTTAGTGTGTGTGGGATTACCCCTGTGTCCATGCTCCCTCTCCATAAAATGCTGAAGGCATGCGATCGGGGCTTCTTGCAATTCTTGATGAACCGGAGTTTTGGGTT